CTTTCCCTTTTTCCTCATTTACCCCCACCCCCCACCTTAGGAAACCCAATCAGGGTGGACTCAGGACCTAAGAGCCCCGGTTCACTTAAGGCTCCAGTCCCCTCTCTGCCCCAAATCAGCTGGTGCCTGTGGGCAGATCCCTTTGCCTGTCTGGCTTCAGCCTCCTCCTAAAGGAAGGGTCACATCTCCCATAGCACTCCTAGCTCAGAGCTTCCTCCAAGGGCACTGGCACATCACCACCCTTTGCGTGGCTTATGTATTCCAGATCCAACACACTGATCTCACAGGAACCTCCCTCCTTAGGCTGTTTATGTCTCTTGAAAGGAGAAGCGGCCCAGGTCATGCTCAAGGTTGACAACTAACTACGTCATCTAGAGCGGAGGCTGGCGGCATATTTGGGAAGACATAACCCTGGGCATAGTAATGAACTCTTTTACTCATATTGCCTTATTTTCTTTGTCAAAACTTTAATAGAAGAATTGGAGCAAAAACGTTCTCCATGTTTGAAGCTTATAAGGGTGCCACCCGATCTCTGCGATGTGGTTCAGATAAATACTGGGAAACAGCTTAGTTGGGTGGTATAGATAACTACATCTAAAAGTCATTTTAGCTTCCTGGTTCATTCTTGCCTAGGTTTTGTTAGTGACATTTGTGGGCTTTTCTCTTTCTAATAATAAAAACAATGCACATGCACCACAAAGCATCTAGAAAGTACAGACTGGCACAGGTAAAGATGTGAAAACTACACGCAGTCTCACTCAGAAACAACTGCCAACATTCTGATGTCTCTTTCCAGGAAGATACATATATGCGTTTATAGAGAGAAATATAGAACAGTAATTGCAAACAGTAACTTCACATATGGATGTGTATGTTTTTCTTTTACAAATGTGACACTTAAAATTTAATTTCAATTTTCAAACGGGTTTCATTTCATATAAAACTCATTTTCTTAAAATCCTATCGCTTTAATAACATTCTAGAGCTTTTCATGTACAAGATAAATTTTACATAACACACGCTTCATCTAAACGGACTGCTTTTTTTTGGATTTGGGTTCACTACATACACTTCTTTGTAACTTGCTTTTTTACAAAAAGTTTTTCCCCCCATACTTTATGTATTAGTGTGCAGTCCTATGAGTTTCCACAAATGCATATAGTCTTGTAACTAGCACCAGAATCTGGTTACAGAGTTTTGCCTGTCATTAGCTAGTTATTTAAAATATGATTGTAGATATCACCAAGCTTTCTGCATTTGAAAGTACGATGACTTAACCAATCTCTTTCTGTTGGCCATTTAGGTTGTTTACTCATTTCTTCTTACTGATTTTACAATCTGGAGGAATGGAATGAATGAATGAATGAATGAATGAAAATGAGTGAAATCTAGGGTCTCATTTCCTAGAGTTATACCTCAAGGGCTTCTCCCTTCTCTACCTGGGAAACTACTTATCCTTCGAGACCCAGCTCAGACGTTAGCCCCTCTGTGAAGCCCTGGTGATGCCGGCTGGAGAGTTGGCTCCACCTTCTCCTGTGGTCCCACAGGACTGGTCACACGGTGTTAATAGTCTGTTTCTCTTCTCTCATCTGAACTGTGAACTGGGGGAAAGTGATATCTTAGCTCTGTACTCACAAAACCTAGGCCAGGCCTGGTTCGTAGGGCCCTACAAGTTGTTCATGAAATGAACATTCTATCCCATCGAACTAAATTTTGGTATTTTGCCAATTTTTTAAGAGATGGGTACCTTATGAACATGGTGCAAATATGGGCTGGATGAGTTAAGATGGTACATGCGAGGAGACTGGACAATTTCCTTTGTCCCCAGAGCCCGGGTCATGGGTACAAATTCATACATGTGTGCACTCGCTCAACGAAAATTAAATGAATGAATACATGAATGAAAAGGTGTGGTCCTGGACCGTGGGAGGCAAGCCAATCACAGGGAGCACCTGCTCTCAGTGAGCTCACAGTGGGAATCAAGGAATCCATCCGCCTTGGAAGGGCTCACGCACCCCTCCACGCAGACTTGATTAGTTCAGGGGCTTCTGGCTGCCTCACCACCGACAGCCAGATAGTGTCCAGTGGCTCCTGGTAACAGTGTCCTGAATTTGTGCCCTAGGAGTCAAACCCTGAGGGGAGAACACCTGCTTTAATTTACTAAAGGTGTATTTATTAATCTCTGTAACTGCAAGATCTGGCACAGGCCTTGGCACAGAGCTGGTGTTTTAAAAAGTTTGAGTAAGGATATAATATGAATAATAAAAATGTTTGAGACGGATAAAAACGACCACCATTCCGCAGAGCTCCTCCCCAGCCAAGTTCTCAACTGGTTGCTCGTTGCATGTGTTCTATTTTTTCCGACATCCCTGAGATAGGTCTGTATCATTTTCCCATCCTAGAGATGAGGCCCTGAATCCCAGACGAATTCCTCACAGTTGCCCAGGCGCACACTGCAGAGAGGAGTATCTGCTGGGAGTCGAACCAGGTGTGCCTGGCTCCGAAGCCTGCATTCCCGACACGGGGCCCAGGAGCCTCGACACCAACGCTTCCCATCTCTGCCAAACGCCGCCCATCACTGCCTCCCCACGTACAGCAGGTAAAGGACGGTCAAGGGGCTTGCGTAGAAACCGCGTCCTTCGAGTCTTGTAAAGATCTGTTCCCAGCAGGCTCCGGAGGCGACACCCAGGGTTCCGACCGGTTGCCAGCAGATGACTTCAGCCTAGGCGCGCTCCCCTATAAGGTGCGCAGACGTGAGGCTGGGAAGAGTCTGACTCAGGCCTCGACGCACAGTAGACGCCCGATAACGGCTCTGGCGTCCCCGCGTTGTGGGAGGAGAGTCTGGGGCGGCGGGCAGGCGGAAGATGCTGTCCGGGATCCGCCGCTGGGCCCACGTGACCCCACCTGGATG